TAGGCTTTTTAAAATCTACTTCCTTCACCACTCCTTGGAGGGAGAGTGATTTATCCACTCTCTTCTTTACCACCCACCACAAAAAATTTCCCCCTTCAGARGAAGTAGTTAATGAATGAACTTGCTCAGGTGACAAAGCCAGATTCCCCTCTTTTCTGTGTAAAARCTTCCTGAAGTCACYTTGCAAATCCCSKTCTGGGGAGGAAGAGGTTGCAAACAGCCCACCAGCAAACTTCCCTATTGCCTGSCTGTAGCCTTTGCTACATCTTTGCTTCCTTTCCTCTCCCAGGCAATCAGACCTCTCAGGGCAATAAATCTGATCCTTCCTGCCTCATGTAGTCAATGACTCTGCCCCATTGCTGCCCAGATATTATTCACTCTCAGTAGTATCTTCCTTCAGTTTTTGGTACTTGTTATACACAGGGGTTGTTGGGAGCTGGAGAGATCTCTTCTCTAAAGCTCAGAATGAAGAAATGTACCAGAAATTTCAGGATTCCCTAGGAGGAACAAAGATGGCGGCGAAGATAAAATACGATGTGTACTGCAAGGCCTGAAAATGAGCAGATGAATAGCAACACTGCAAGTCTTATTCCAAAGGTGRTTCTCCAAAGGTGGATACTGACCATTTTTCCTTTCCATGAGACCCACTCTGAGAACTACCTGGCACCTCCAAGAATTTGSAACTTGTGCTTTGATTGACGTAACCAAATAAAATGTGTGTATACCTTGAGTGACTGCCTGGCATCCTTCCAGGAGGGAGATGGTGGACAGACATCATAGCACCAGTCTGGTGCCATCCCTGTGTCTACTTCTTGGCCTGAAATGGTGAACAAGGCYCTGCAGGGCTTGGTGGTGCAGCAGAGGGACCAATATAGCGGCTCTCCTCTGACACAGAGTGGACTCGACATGGATAAATGTGGTGGGTCYGAACCACCAAATATCTGTGTACAGGTAGAAGATGTTAATTTGAGTTAGATCCATCATGGCTACCATGGTGTTGGCAGGTCAGAAAGGCCTTTGGCACTGGCAAATGCTATGCATGGGTGTGGTAAATGGTGGGACTTCTCAAGCTCTAAGAGCCAYGAACTCTTAAATAATCAACCGCTATCTGTTCTTTGGAGTGTTTTGCTCCTGTTGCACTCTCTAGGAAGGTAAGTGGTGAGTAAGAAGAGCCACGACATTCAAGTAGGAGGACTGAGGGAAAGAATCTCCTTGACTAAACTATGCTAAACTATGGAAGTGACATTTATATGACAATAAACAGAACTAAATGCTACACAGATATGTTTTCCACACCCTCCTTGCTGATGTCGATGTCCYTGCTACATCTATGCAGAATGCATTGCATGACCCCTTGTCACAACCACACTTTTGGGAAACCAGAAAAGCCAAAGAAGTGTCTGCCTGGCAAACGGAATTCAGTTCCTCGGAAGAGGGATTCCTCTGACATGTTCCTAGATAGATTCACTTGCAGGGCTCTTACACTGGACTAAGATTAAAAACAGATCAACCAGCAGCCACAAATGTAATTAAAAAAGTGCTGACTGTCACTGCACAGCTCTTGGGGACCGCCCCTACCCTGCCCTGACCAAGGACCCTGTGTCAGCCCTAGCTCCAGCCTCTCAGCCCCTGCTCYAGTGATGCCACAGCAGGGTCAGGCTCCAGCTCCTTACAGTCTCTCCTGTTGGACCACTGGCCTTGCCAAGCTGGACCCATCCACAGACCCATATCCTGGCAAAGTAATCCAGATTAGGATGTCTTTAAAATAACTGTGAAACGATCTTGAGTTGTCCAAAGCTTCGAGGYGAGCCTAACTGGACCTTTTCTTTCAGTGGACAGACCATGGTCACTGAGAGGACTGTACATTTCTAAAGGCTACATTTGCATTTAGCTAAACTAGGACAGTCAATGTTTAAAATACAGATACTCAGTTTCTTCTGAGTGAGAACCCAATAATATAACAGACCTTCCCTCACACATTCTTTGTCTCAGGCTAGCAATATTTTGTTTCATTTTTGGGTTGCAGCAGGGCCCACACAGGCCGAATATTCCTGCGAAATCTGAGCTCATGGTTGCCCCAAAGGCTGGACTTACTTCCCTCTCCTGACTGCAGTTGTCTGCTCCCTCTTTTGCATGAGCTCTCATGCTTGTCTGACACCCCCAGCTTTCTGAAGCAGCACAAAACACTCATGGTGGCAGTAAGCTGCCAGATTGTCCCAGATGTCTTGCACAATCTCATCCTTGGTGCCCCTGGGTCACTAAGAAAGAATTTCTCCCTTGCTTCAGAGACTTGGCTCTGTGATTTTCTGCTTCTTTCAGGCCTCTTCTAATATCTGCCCTTGATGCAGGCTTGCTTCCCGCAGGGTCATGCCCTCATGCTGCAGAACACTTTCCCAGCTCAGGGCTCTCCTTCACCCAGAGCAGGGCACGCACAGCAAGGCAAAGGGGCGCCCCTGCTGGCCACTGGGAAGGGAGCAGGGTAGACACAGCACTCTGCGCTTGCACTGAGGTACAGCATCTCTCTCTCCCATTCCCGACTAGGGGCAGCAGTGGCTGTAGATATGCTGGAAGTCAGTCTTTTAGGCTGAGGGGGCGTGGGGGGGACCTGGACTTGTTTCTGTAAGGAGAACTTTGGACCCCAATCCAGTGGTGATCATTTCAGTTTTTTTGCATTCCCTCCTTATTTGAAAAATACAAAATTTATATCTCTACTGTCAAGGAACAGCTTACTAACAAAGGTGTACATTCATTATTCTTTAAAACAATATTGACAATTGAAAAAAAGTGGAAAATATATATGTTCTGAGTGTTTAACATATTTTCTTACCCACTCAGTTGCATCCTTATGGTTTCTTTTTTGTTATTAGATGCAGAACATCAAAGAAAAAGCCATCTACTTCACTTTTACTTGTCCCCTAGGATAAGTACTTCACAGCTTTATGAATGGGAAAGGCACTTTCCTTTGTCTAGAAAGATGTTCTGATTATCAGCACRTACACGTAAAAATAGTTGTAACCAAAGTGACCCTAGCTTTTTGGCAATGAATAGAAAATCAGAATTTGAGCTTGTGTTTGGCAGAACCTGCATTTTCTGACAATGTTGTTTGGGTCTTTTCAGCAGAAAAGCACTCAAACATTTTAGCCCTGAATTCCCCAACCTTGAAATAATTCCTTGTATTGTTCTAAGGTTCCAAAGACACAGATGAGGCTCTGCATTGAGCCTCACCTTGCGAGTGACTGACCCAGTGTTTAATGAGTTTTGTGTATTTTGCTTCTTCTCTCCAATTAATGCACATTGGCTGCTGCAGCTGGAATGTGATGAGGAGAATTGTGAAAAGAGGCCACAGTACCCTTTTCAGCAATTCCTGTGCGCCTTCCTACCTAGCCCAAACTTTCTGATGGCTGATAAGAAACAGATCTGGGCTGCCTGAGCAACGTTCATTTATCAGGGAATGGCTCTGCCAGGAGTCCAAGGGAAAAGGGAAGAATAGATTGAAATACCAGGACAAGCTGGASTTCATGTTGGACAGTGTTTTCCAGACCTTATATTTTTGCAGATATGTAATAGTTTACAACCTGTGCAAAGCACAACATCATAGCAATCAGACTGGTGTTATTGCCCGAAGATTTGCTTATATTAATAGAAACAAAAAACTTTATTTATGTCTGTTTCTTTARAAGTTTATTGAAGTCCTGGGATCAAAAAAGAAATTTTCACCAAYTTAGACTGGTTTATGAGATGGACAGTTTCAGTCATTTTCCTGGCTTGCAATACAATATCAATTACCTATTTTTGAAGCTTTGTTGCTAGTATTTGTAAATATTTCAAAGAAAATTGAATATACATATTAAGTATAATAACCTGCATAAGATGGAGYAGTCAAATTTTTGAGTGGCACTTTTTTTGAGGGGAAGCGGGGATAACATGGCAGTGAAAAGGCTAATCATGAGAAAACTAATATTAAAAAATACAGACATCAAAAGATTCTGAGAAAACTTACATGCATCAGACATCCTGCTTCCTCAGTTTAGCATGTCCTTATTCACTGAGATCAGCTCGCTGGGAAACATGCTTTTGACTCACGACCCTGTATCTTCCCAGAACATTTACTCTTACAAACACAGAATCATAAGCTGTGTCAATGAACCTACCATAGTTTCCAGAAGGTTAGTGATGGCACAGTGTTTCCCACTTGCATCATTTTGTACTGACAAAATAGCCTTGCATGAGGAGAAATCTCGGCCCACTGGTTCCATTCCCATTCTGGCTCTTAAATTTTCTCAGTGGAGCTGGGACAAGCAAGCCCATTCAGGGAAACCTGTGAAGCCCACAGCTACACTGCTGGAACTCTGCCAAAGGTACAGCCAAAATAGAAKTCTCTATAAATTCTGAATCACTGTCAGACGCTGGGAATCAGAAAGGTAGCTGAATTCCCTGGGTCTCCTTGACTGGTGAGAATTGAAGCATCTACCCAGACGACCAGTTTCTAAGCTATGAAAGAGAAACCCTCAGTACTCCCAAAACATTTGGAGATATTTTTTTTCAGAAAAGGTGAGCTGATATTTTTTATTAGGCATCTGTAAAAAAAAATCTATTTTAGTTCTTAGTAATAATAATATAATAATAATATCTCTCACAATTATATTTATATAGCTCCTGTTTTACAGAAAAACATGTGGATGCTTTACACAGAATGATTCCAAGTATCATTGGGCTTACCTAGGCTCAGCCATCTAAAAGCTGGGTATTGAAGCTATTTATCCTGGTGTCTTCCTAATGGAGAGAGAGAAGGGCTTGCAGCACGAAGTTCATTTATTGTCAGATGACA